AGCCGCGGCTGGCGGGACCGTGGGGCGGCGGCCGGTTCGCAAGGCGGGTGGAAGCGAAAAAGGGGAGACATCCTAAGGATGGAGCGATCCCCAAAAGTAGGGGCCGCGTGCCCCGTCTGCCGCCGCACCGACCTGGAGGCCCTGGAGGATGGCGAAGGGGTTTAGAGGGCTGCCTGGAGGCGGTGGTGGGGGCCACAGCCTTTCCCTAGCGCGCGCCTGGGTGCGGGAAGCGGCAGCAAAAAGAGGGCGCGTCTCTGTAAAGAGGGCAGAGGTGGAGAAGATGGGGCGGTTTGGGGGGGCGCGGGACGTGGGGGGAGCGCTCCCCAGGGCCGGGGAGGTGCCCGGGCTGGGAGGGAGGCTGTTCGCGCGCTGCGTCGGCGGAGAAGGGCCGGAGAACGCACGGTCCCCTCGCTGCGGCCGCAACCTCAGCGTCGCGCGCGTGCAGGAGGCACGGCCTGAAATGAAGGAAGGGGGTTCTAGCCTGCCCCGCTCCCCGCACCGCCACCACCACGCAGCAGAGCCACTGTCGCAGCTGCCCAGAGTAGGGCCCCATTTTGCAGACTTTGAACCAGCCCCGACTGCAGGACGCTCCAGACGAAAAGCTGCGGGCTGTGGGAAGAGACCAGGAGCTGGAGGGAGGCTCCCCCGCCCCCCGCACCCTGTGCCGTGGGAGGCCTGGAGTGGGTGCCTCCCAAAGTCTTACTGTCACACCCTTTGCCCAGGCTCCCCCTTTCCTGGCTGATGGTGGAGGCCCAGCGTTTTCCATCAGCCAGCCAGCTGACAACCATGCGGGAACCACCCCCCTCCACACACACCCATAGGGGAACCCCCCTCCCCACGCACAATAAACAAGAGAAGAACAGCCACTGCCTCCTGGGCCTTGAGCCCAGAGCCTGCAGCTGATAACGGGCGGGTCCCCTGATTTCAAAAGCGCCAGGGCCCCGCCCCTTTTACGGATGAGGTAACTGGATTCCTCTCAGCTTGTCCCAGGTCCCCAGCAGGATCCAAGTGGGCCTTTGACGGAAGGGCAGCGGGGCTCGGCCCAGGCTCTTGACAGACACAACTTCTGGCCTGCCTGGGGGGGAGGGGTCCCAGGAGCTGACCCCGGCCACTGGCCTGGGGGCCTTGACAGACACAACTTCTGGCCTGCCTGGGGGGGGTGGGGGGTCCCAGGAGCTGACCCCGGCCACTGGTCTGGGGTCCTGACCTCGGCAACCTCCTGGCAAAGGCCCTTTGAACCACAGGACCTGTGCGGTGATACAGTGTCTCTGTGTGAGCTTCGGGTTTCTTACACGGAACCGAGGAAGCCCCCTTCCTGCAACGGTGCCGGTCTGGGTCAACCCCTGGCCTACTAAGCGCAGAGGGCAGGAGAAACCCTGTGGGCTTTGGGAGGGAGTGGCTTCGTCCCCATCTCAAGTGCCAGCGTTTTACAGACCCCAACACAGGCCACAGACACACGCACACACAGTAGGAAGCGGCCATCCCAGACCCCTGAGGACCCCTCTTCCCCCTTCAAAGTCTCTGTCGACTGAAGACAGAGACAGGAAGGACCCATGGACATGCCAGGGACGGCCGTGGACGCTCACCGTGCTGTCCTGAGTTCTGACTAGGGCTGGTCATTGGGATTTTGCAGCTTCATTCTGTGGGGGGGGTTTAGTGAGAGCCCAAACGGTGCCGGGCCTTGCGAAGGTCACACACGGGTCGTGCAAATGTACAACACACCAGCCCAGCCAGCAGGGGTTACGGAGTTGGGAGATGAATCGGGGAGTCTGAGCAAAGCAGTGAGCCCACCGAGGGGACAGCCACCTCCCCTGCCAGGGCGCCGTGGGTGGAGGATGCCACCCACGAGGGAGGCTGCAGGGTCACCGGACCTGAGCAGGGAGGAGGGCCTTCCGGGCAGGGGAACGAAACGTGCAAGGCAGTGCCACAAACTCGGAGGCTTAAGACGGCACGGTTCTGGAGGCCAGAAGTCCAAAATCAAGATGTCAGCCGGGCCACACGCCCCGTAGGGGAACTCGCTCCTTACTGCCCTCGTCAGCTGCCGGTGGCCCCAGGCGTTGCTGGGCTTGAGGGTGAATCACTGCCATCGGCCTCTGGTCACACTGCTTCCTTCTCTGTATCTCTTATAAGGATACTTGTCCCTGGATCCTGGGCCCCCTCAGAGAACCAGGAAGGTTCTAAAAGTCCTTAAATTAATCCCGTCTGTGGCCAGTACAGTAATGATCACACGTCCTGGGGATTAGACCTGGACGGGTTTTTGGAGTGTACCCCACCTCACCTCGTCCTGAGCCTGCAAGGGTACAGCAATTTGGGGAGCTCGGGGTTACAGACGGTTCTGGGAGGGGCAGGGCCTTGGCACGAGATTAGGTTGAAGGAATCAGTCACAGAAACAGGGAAGACGAAAGCCGGGATGGTAGCTGGGAACAGACCTCAGGTGCATTTAAGGGGCACACACAGTAGAATCAGCAGGATGTGGTCCCCCCTCTGGACCCCAGCTTCGTCCTAGCACTGTTTCTAACTCCGCGTGCCTCCCAGAGTTTTTGACATGTTTTTGGTTTTTCTAAATGACTTTTAGGGACACTTCTAGGGTTACCGATTCCAGGAACAGACCCATCGTGGCTCAGGCGATTGCAGTAACCCCCCACCTCCAGCCACCCTCTATTGGGCAACCCTCTGCTGCTCCCCAGCACTCAGGACCCTGTCACTGCCAACTCCAAGCCTCTCGGTCACTTCCCTTGTCCCGCCAGTTGAAGTCTGGACTGCCACAGTGGGACTGTGACAAGTCTGATTTCCACCTCTACCGATTCCGAGCTGTGTAACTTTAGACAAGCTGCCCAACCTCTCTGTGCCTCAGCTGCATCTATAAAACGGAGGTGATAATAATGCCTCCATCGTAGCGGTGTTATAAGAACCGAACAAGCTATTATATATATTTTAAAAGCAGCGCCTGCTTGGGCTACGATCACAGCTTTGACCTCTAATTCGGTGACCCTGTGTTCTCTATTCTCCGTAGCTTGTGTGGGAGCCGGGACTGCGTGGTGGACGCTTGACGTGGGTGCAGGATGAGTGCTCAGGGTGAGGAGGAGACCCTATCCCGTAGCTCAGAGAAGTAAATGTCTGGGCCCAGGCCGCAGAGAGCCGGGCAGACCCGGGGCAGGCTCTAGGCTCGCCAGCAGCTTCCCCACCAGCAGCCTGACCTGGCTGGCCCCGGCACAGGTGAGGGCCGTGTGTGCATGGGGGATGGGGGTGCCGTCAGCACGTGCAGGCTGACACGTTGATCTGGAAATGCTTCATCCATGTGCCTTCTTTCAAACATTGAGACACAATGTACCTAACACAAATTTTATCACTTAAAATGTATACTTCGCTTCGGCTTTTAGTATATTCACAGGGTTGTACGACCATCGCCCCTAATCCCAGGACATTTTCATCCCCCCAGAAAGAAACCCCATACTCATTAACAGCCACTCCCCTGCTCCCTCCTCCCCAAGCCCCTGGCAATGACTATTTTTCTTGTCACTGCCAAGACACCTTATTTAAAAAATGCTTTCAGCTTTGTTGAGAAATAGTTGACATAACATCGTATAACGTTATGGTTTACAATGTGATTCGACATATATAAGTATTGTGAAATGATTATCACAATAAGGTTGGTTAACACATCCGTCACCGCACGTAGTTGTGTGTGTGTGGTGTGTGTGGTGTGTGTGTGTGTGAGAAATTTGAGACCCACCTCGCCTGCTGTCTGTGGCTTTGCTCGTGCATACAGCCTCCCTTGTGATGGTGTTAAGTTTCTCCGCCCCTGGTTCTGAGTCGGTACATGAACCACAAAGAGAAATGGGGCCTCTGGGTCTCTCTACACAGGGGAAGAGTCAACCCCGCTGGGCAAAGTGCTCCCCGTCCCTCAGTAAACCCCGCTCTGCAGCCACACACACATCCCTGTCCTCAAAGCGCCTGCATCCACTTGGCCGAGGCCCTGTCCCCCACCTGGCGTGTACCCCACCTCACCCCGTCCATGTGGCAAACTCGTACTCACCCTTCGAAGCCCAGATCCAGTGTCGCCTCCTCCTTGAAGCCTTACCTGGCCTTTGTGCTACTCTGCCCCTGAGTTCAGGCAGTTGCAGGTTCTGGGTCACGAGCACGTCCTGGCAGAGCGACGTGCCCTTCTGCGTCCACGTCACCGTGCCTAGCGCGGGCTGCGTGCACAGCAGAGGCTCGGGGACGGTGCTGAGCGGGCTGGGCACACACTCGTTTCACATCCACGGTGGAGTCGGACTTGTAGGT